CACACACCATGAACCAGTGCAGCAGAGCCCGCAGCCCGGTGTCATGTCCATGAGCTGAGCAGAATGCCTGCCAAGAATTTCCTGCATACCCCTGCATGATTTGTACTGTTGATATACAATCTGATGTCCCTTGAAAAAAAGCATACATACAACTGCAACCAGCCTTGCTAAGTTCTACTGCAGTGAGCAGAGGCATTCTGAGGTGGAGCAGCTCAGTCGCAGCTCCAGCACCCTGCTCTCCCTCTTTCTGTGACTGATACATGCTCTGAGCTCTCGCCTGTGTATGGTGCACCTCAGGCATTGCTGGCCATGCACCAAGACCACGATTACCTGCTGTCTTAGCACCCACTTGCATTCAGATTTGAGAGGACACTGAACCAAAAAAGTGATGATCCCCATGAACATGTGTGGCTCATGCTAATTGTACCTGCAACCGTAGCACATAAAGACCAATGCTGGTGTTACAGCCAGCCTATAAACAAAAATTATGAACCATGTGAGATCTTTCAGTCAGGATGACTAGGGACTTTTGCTATGGGAGTCTTCACTTTTTAATTCAGCTCTTCAGTTCTTCCTTGACCTTTCTTCTATTTGTGCTCTAAGTTGGTAAAGTTTCTTCTGACATTGCACTCAGAAAGGGAAGAAGATCATTAGGATTAAGGATTTTATTCTCTTTCCCAGACTGCAGCACTTTGATGCCATTACACATTTTGTGACTTCCCCCTTAAAGTCTTTCCTCTGCAGTCAGATGTCCTCCGAGGCATTTGATAATTTTAGATCATCTAACGGAAATGTCAGTTTTAGTCCCGAGGCCTGTACCTCTCCAAGTATTTTGTGTAAAGCCAAGTAAGGATGTCTTTATATAAAGGACAAAGTTTGTAACTCTTAAATTGAATGACTCAGTAATACATCCTTCCCTTAGATTCTAGCATGCTCAAAGGACCAAGATTTAATGACAGGTTGGGACATAAGCTGTACCTAGTGCTGCTCAGTAGAAGCAAGTCAGTGAAATGAAGCAGTCAGTCCTGAGAACTTGAGGTTTGTAGGGGCATTGCTTTGGATTAGGTTCACTCTCATGGGCAAATTGCCTTTTGCAGTTGGAACATCACTAGGTGACCTCTGGGAACATGTATTCCCACTGTGTCCATTGTGCCCTCACAGATCACTGCAGAACACAAATACAAGCATGACCTATGGGTATGGTCTGGAGATAAGCCTTGTAAGCAGACTCCAAGCCCAAACTAAAATTATAATCTAAGAGCATCACAGCTGCTTTATTTGTGAAATGTATCAAGTGCATCAAATGACCCACAATATGCACACAACTCTGTCTGGCATTTGTGGAAGGAAGCAACAGAGAGGGGTAAGAGAGCTCACATTTATCTGCATCCATGTCTGACTGTTGTTCAGCATGAGTGAAGTATGAAAAATTGGTACTCAAAATGCCTTGATTCAAGACATTCCTAGAGCTTACTCCTTTCAGTGCCCATGCTGTTGCCATGTGTTTCTTTTTGTCTGCACTCTCCTTTTGCAAATAGGCTTCATTCCTGCATTTCTGACTAAAGTCCTAGAGCATACCCTGGATTGGATCAATAACACTAATTCAAGATCTTATTTACTAACTGCTACTCAGCAAATCCCCTCTTATAGATTTGTCTTTAAGAGCTTTGTAGAATCACCAAATCAGTTAGACATTCATGACAGCTTCTTCAAAATAAGTATTCTGTATTTTCCCAGAGGAGTAGAACAAAGAAAATAGCACTGAAACACCAGAAAATTTACACACATATTAATTATCCTTAAACCAATAGCTTTTGCTTGGTCGGGTAGGTAAGTATTGCTTGTTTCAAAGCACCCCCTTGTGCAGGCAGTCGGTAAGACAAGTTGTACAAGACGCTTCTGGCTCCCTGACACCTTGATCTGCATGGGTCATGATCTGCATTTTTCGAGTTACCCACCTGCTTCGTCTGCCACAGAGGTCTTTTGTTCTATGGTTCATGTTGAGAGACCTCCTGAGGTTTCAAACTGCTGAGCCTGGTCAAACTGGTACAGTATGGATGAAGGTAGTCTTCGAACTGTAGGTTCCCACTGTTGTCCGGTGGTAAAATATAATTCTTTGAAAATCTGATACAAGCATGGGTAAAGTCCAACTGAAATCAATCAATATGGATCTTCAATTTGAGCTGCTGCATAAAAAGAAATTTCTTACACTGTTGATAAGATTTTTATAGATACTAGTCATAGTTGGTAAACAGCAGCCTACAAAAAATAAAAGGCTGCAGATTTGAGTCTTCCAAATTGACTAGTGAATTCAGTCTGTCCATCTGGAGATTACTTCATAGAAAGGTAGCTTTTGAAACCTTATCTTTTTCCAAATTCAAGGCTCCTCTGGCAACATCATAAATTGGGGAGCACAGGTGGAAGAACTCTCAAAATCTTAAGTAATTCTGGAAAATTTTGTCAACTATGTAAAAACAAACAGCTCTTCAAAGCCAGTGATAACTGTATGTTTCACTTGTCTTAAATCTACTATTTACATCCATTGACTGGGCAATCTTTGTTGACAACAATGTTCAGATGAGCCATTTCCTTGACAGAGATAGTACACTTCTATAGGGAAAAATAATCCATTCCTTTTTGGTTTTGAATTTTGCAGTGGTTTTGTAATTGTCCAGATTTTGTGCTGCCTCATTTTTATTTTTTTTTTACTTTAGTGCTTATGCTTTGTTTAATAAAAAAAGGAAGCATATTTTTTCTGAAGAGGTAAGTAAGGAATTCTGCATAACTCTTGGCGTCCCAGATATTAATTCAATGATCATTTAATTGCATCACAAGAGCTATTGGTTGAAATTAAATTACAAACAGATGAGAGCAGACAACACATAGTGAAAAAGAAGCTGAGGTATCTGCAAGTGTTTCAAATGTTCCCCAAGGTACCCTACATTGTTCATGCTTCAGAGAACCAAGGCAGCAGTGCCAGAATACCACCTGATGCGACATTTTCAGCACAAAGGCACTTGAATTCACTACCTACACAAGCTTTTTCATCTGCAGGGTGCATATGTGTTTGTCCTATTAATGCCTACACTCCCTGTCTCCTCAACCCATTGATTCTCACAGTTTACCTGCACTTGATGTGTTCCTTTTCTGTTACCTCACAGAGTGGCATCCTGCTGGCAGAACCCCATCCCATATTGTTGCTACCCCCCGTATTCATGCTGCAGGCACTGCTGACAGATCAGTGAAACAAAAAGCTGATAAATTTGGGCACATCATTAATTTCCTTTTGTCATAACTCCTGTGGATTATCTTAGATACAGTGTTATGTAAATGCTGTTTCAGACTAAGTACACATGAAGTTTAGAATTTGAGTAAAGCACATAGTCCTTGTGAAAGCTGATGGGTTTATATTTCTGAGTGCTGGGTGAAAATAAAAATGTAAAAGCATCAGTTGTGCTACAGAATGGTACTACACCAGATTTGAAGACAAAATTAAATACTAATGCATGAAATACATATTTTAAGTGATGATTAGTGCAGATCTAATGCAACTTTAACTGCAGAATTGCTGCTGCTGACTTCATAAAATACATCCCATAAACAGCTGCTGATCTGTTCACCATTTGTGTCTTACCACTCATTTGTTTAGTAATCAGTTCTCATTTGTTCTACATATGGTACAGCTTTCCTTTTATAGCAGCTGCATTTAATGAACAATTGGAGGCACAAAAATATTACAGAAATATTTAACTATTCTCCTACATTTTCATCTGTCAATGGGGTTGTTTGAATAAAAGTTAGAAAAAAAGTCCATTAAATATAGAATAAGGAAGGTGTAGATGCTCTCTCATCTTCCTGAACTGGCAATTCATAGTGGAAGTTCCAGTGACTATGCTTTGCACTCCTCTTCTCTCCTTTAGGCAATTAATTTTCTCTGTTTATACTGTCCATTCCCTTTTGTGATTCACTGACATCAACATGTCAAATTTGATTCACTTTTTGGTTTTGCTCTGTATCATACTAGAGACCTTTAGGTAATGTAGTGAGTATCTTGCAGATCGAGTGCATTTCAAGATTTTTAGAGAATGACAGCTTACAAGATTAAAAATTTTGTCAGGTGTTCTGCTTAAATGTGGAAATCAGTAGTCATTAAAGCTGATTTGTGTGAAGATAATTGCCTTCTGGAGTACTTGTGTTTAAGTGTCATCTTAATTGCTTTTTTCCAAAAATTCTGATCTTTAACAAGAACATTTTATGCTAGTGAGTGTTCTCTTATGTATTCATGCTTCAGCCATGTCCTGCAGCCTGAACTTAATGAAAAAATGTAACACAATCTTTTGTTTATAGAAGAGTATAGGTGACAATACAGCTGTGTGCTGAAACTTTGCTGGTGTTAAGGGCAAGATGCCAAATAGGGCAAATGCCTGTGGATTGGACAGCCCTCTGTCCTTGGTCAGTCTTCACTGGTGACCTTGACCTGCAGCTATTGCAGGGAATCTGCAAATCTGTCAAGTGCAGCAGTGGGCAGAGGAAAAGGGCTGTTCATTAGAACTGACTGCTTGGATCAGACACCATTCCAGAAAAGGGAAATTTCCAGTCAGTTCTGCCCGAGTCAGCCACAATGCCAGGTGGGTTGGGGAGATGATTAAAGAAAGAAATGAGTAATTGCTTAAATGTGCCGAGCATTTTACAGATTGCACAGTGTAAATATTTTGGATATAATCTTTTCAGATGGTTGATGAATCAAAATAGCTGCAGGTGAGTTTGATATGTGTCACCAGGCTTGTATATAGATAGATGTGTTAAACTGGCATTGTATGGGCAAATGCTCAGTTGGGAGAAATAAATGATGGCAGGATATTTTAGAAAGGATCTCAGGTATTTCTGCAAGGCATTTTCATTGAAAAAGGCTTAGCTGTGAGAGAAATGTGCTTGTTTCTAAATTTAACCCTACTAACAGTTTACTACCTTCTTTTTGTGTCTGTCTTTTTCTCTTCCAGTGCCACCTTGGGCCTTAATAGCCATAGCCATAGTTGCAGTCCTATTAATCCTCACCTGCTGCTTTTGTCTCTGTAAGAAATGCTTGTTCAAAAAGAAGAACAAGAAGAAGGGAAAGGAGAAGGGAGGGAAGAATGCTATTAACATGAAAGATGTTAAAGATTTAGGGAAAAGCATGAAAGACCAGGTAAAGTAACTCTCCGTTTCTTGAACTTTTGGGTTGCATTTGAAGGTTTCTGTTTGATGTGTCTAGAAAAAGCTGTGCTTGTTGTCTCAGTAGTGGCTCTGTGAAGAGTGGACTGATTGACAGCATCTTCTCAGTGGTATCACAAGGGATGAACCTGGGTGTGGCATCACTGATGAAGCAGCCAGCCAATTTCCCTGCTCTGCTAAAAACACATGAGCAGGCATATAGTGACTCATCCTTAAGGGGTGAGTTTATCAAGGGTATCCTGCTTGCTTCAGAAATGGAGCAGCTGTGTGCAATTTTCACTGTACTTTTCTCTCAAGGCCAGTGTTTATGTATCTTTATATATCTTACTAGCAGTATTTCTGAGATTACAAGATAAAGAAAAGTAGTTGTGAACTCTAAATTTCTTTTTGCACAAAAGTTCAGTTGAGAAGGAAACAATAGTATAGAGTCAGAAGCAAGGGGATATAATGAAAAAGGAAAACCACAGGGACATTCAACACAGTGATGTTTGGAGAATTCATTTTGTTCTAGAGAGGAGAAGATTAAAGATAACAGGCCTACTTGGAGCTGTAAGTCAACTGGGTAACTTGGAGAAGATTAATATAACGCCCTTTGAGAGCAGCATAATTTTCATAAGGGCAGAAAAGCTTGTCCTTCAGATCTACTTGGTGGAAGAGAAGCAGAGGCTGCAGGGCTTAATACTAAGGGCCACAGACTCAGCTAATATCTTCTTGAGAGAAGACAAAGCTTTTTATTCATGGGATTTTAGTACTGCTCTTCCTGGAGCAAATTGTTTGGAATAAGCAGCAGAATGAGGAAATAAACATGAAGTATCTATTTGTCCTCAAAACTCTGAGATTTCATAAGCTAAGAAGACAAAGGACTAGATTTTTCAAAAAGGAAGGACTGAAGAAATTTAGAGAACTGCTTTGCAAACCCTCATAAGTAGAAGCAAATAACTTTAAAGATATTGCATAGTCAAGTCTGTGTTCCCAAGACTCCGGGGGAAGTTGAACTAGAGTAGTACAGGAGCAATTACCCAGGCAAAAAGAGAGAATAAAAGCATATTCAGGAATAAGGAGATGATTCCACAAGTTGGGATCTAGCATAGAAGAAAGCTGAGCTGAAGGCACGTTGATCAGAAATACAAGTCAGAGCTGAGAACCTGAGAACTAAGGCCAGCTGGTCAGGGACAAGATCCGAGAAGAGAATCTTAAAGCACAGTAGCTAAAGAGGCACTTGGCCCAGTCCAGAACAAGTGGTGAAATGCCACTGATCAGTGATGGAGCAGCCAGCAGTGAGGCTCATCAGCCAGTCTTAAGAGTCCTGGAACAGGTTAGCATGCTTTTCCAGGCACGTAGGATGTAGTAGGGGAAGAGCAAGATCTGGAACTGAGGTGTGGGTGAGGCAGCCTTACAAGTCTGATGACCAGCTGCAGTAGATCACGTGAGAGGAGTCAGAAAGGAGCACAGTTAAGGGGAGGAAAATAATAGATAAGAGTAGAGCTATCCAAGCTGTTTCCAGTTTCAGTTTCAGAAACAAGAGGACAAAGAGCAAATGCTGGGACCCTTACATCCCCATTGCAAGTGGAGTACTTTAGATACTGGGCTAGTGCACAGTTTCAACCTTGGTTCCTCCTGGAGATACAGTGCTTTGTGTGCCACACTGGTCTGCTGGAGTGTGTGGCACCAACACAAGCCAAATTCACACCTGAGAAAAACATCTTCAGTACACAAAATCACTAATGTAGATGGAGGTGTTCCAAGGTTAGAAAGATAAATGAGACTGAGCTCAAGAAATACCAGAGCAGAATTTTGAGTTCTCTCTTGAAGAAGATATTATGCTGGTGGTTTTTTTCTCTGTATGGTGATTGTGAAACAAACTCCTTCTCTTAAAGCACTTTGATTTAGCATTCATCCCTGTATTTGATTTATAGACTCTGTTCTGAGGTATTAATATTAAGAAATTGTGAGATATTTCCCCTTCAATGTATGGAAAATCAGGTCATCACTTGTTGGCTTATCCTGGGCTACTGTAAGCTAGCTCTCCTATTGAACCCAGAATAATTTGGAAGAACTGCTTTGATTAAGCTGATGGAAAATTTCTGAAGAACTTTGTTATGTCCTGCTAATGATAACAAACCTAATACTTTGTCATAGGATAAATAATGTGCAATTTGTTTATTGATATTTATGTGGAATTTGTTCCATATCATGTAAGGCCTTTGTTGTATTTACAATGTATTATTAAGTGTCTTTAATTATATTCATTAGGACCTGGATAAATGACCATGGATTCTTGGAAAATAAGTATTTGAAATACAAAATTACATTATTTTATTAATATTGAGCTCCATTTGTATCTTTTTAGTGGGAAAATTTGATAAAAAGTGGAATCCTGCATCTTTTGTCGACAAAAAGAGCTGAAACTTTGAAATGTTGCATAGATAGGTATTTTAAGATTATTCCATTCAAAATACTTGGTATAGTTATTTAAACCTACATTTGCTTGAATATTTTGGGATTTAACTAGCATGTTTTATTTTGCGCAGTTAAACCTAAGGAGGGTAGATTGACAGTTGTTGAAATGTCAGACCTCTAATAAGTAGATCACCAACTCTCCCACTACTTCTCTTCACTGTCTGGGATTTCAAACCCAGGCTGAAAACTTCTTAAATTAGCATCTTAAATTCATTTCTAGCAGTGTGACAGTATACAGATTTTAAGTCCTTGGCATTCAGTAACTTTTGCCAATTTGATTCCTAATGCAACATTTTGGCTGTCATTTTTTTCTGTATGATGTGTTTTTTTATCTAACAGTTAATCTTGACTTACCAGTGCAGGTTTTAATATACCTAGCTGAACTCAAGGTAATGCTAAATATAGTGTACTTCAGTTAAGAGAATTGAGGCATTTTAGAGGATCTGGCATAAAACAGTAAGGGGAATAATAAGATTGCCTTTTAGTACTTCAAAGAAGCAAATTCTTTAAAAAGTAATTGAAGAGTAAGATGTAAATGTAATGCCATTATAAAGGGCAACATATAGTACTAATGTTGTCAAAAACTGAAAGACCTATTTCAGTCATTGTTAGGCCTGAACCTGCAAATGCTAATTACTTCTGCCTTCAGCTAAAAGTGCATAATAGCAGTTGCAAGTCATATGGCATCTTGCAGGATCCTAGTTCGCTAGGCGCACAAAGTTGGGAGTGCCATTTGGTAAATTGAAAACAGCAGCTCCTGGAAAGAAAAGTTTTATCTTAATCTGGATTTTTTGGTTGAGGAGAACTTCTGAACTGCTTTTTTTCATGCCCATCCATGCCAAATCGTTATAGAGCCATGTAACTTGGCATGGTTGAAGATCCTTTTGAAATAGAGACACAGTCAGCTCAAAAGTCACACATTGATAGCTAGATATTACAGAAAGGGGAATAAATTTTTTGTCTCTTTTAGAATATTCAAAATGTACTTCAAAATATCCACTTCCCTAAACACAGTTTAAAAGAGAAATTGTCTTTATTGAAGATTATCAAAAGATGTAGCTGAGGTAGAATGGGAGATGAATTGAAAATAAGTTTAGGTTTTCAGTCTTGAGACCTGTTTCCATTGCAGGCAAGGCTTACTTTTTCTAGTCGAGTGTACAGCTCTACCAAAGGCCAAAGGGAGTATTAGATTCCTTCTAGGGAAGGCAGAATTGTTAATGAAGGTACAGCTGTAAAAAAGGTCATTTCTCCATGTTTTCTACTAATGTTTGTGTGTGGATGTTTTAATTTTTATTTCTTCCTCCTATGTCCTTCTTGTCAATGTTGTGTCTCATGACTGTTCTGGATTGTCACTTGCGGTAGGTTTATTTTGCTATTTGGACGCACCTAGACTTAAGCTCTCATGCATAGTCTCCTGACAGCTCTGTCTCCTTAGCAGAGATGGACATGTAGTAGCTTTGAAACACACATCAAGAGGCTGAACTAAATTGATTGGGTATTTTTAGGTTGGATATATATTTGGGGAGGGTAGAGGAGAGCAGAAGGAAAGAGGTTGTCGTTCTTTCTACAGTTAAAATATTAAGTCAAACTGTACCAGAAAGCTCAAGTTGAAAATTGATCAGCGCATAAAAATAACTTGCTAATTATATTTCCTTTTTGTATAAATGTCACCATATCAAAAGTAGACAGAAGTAATGTGTATTTTTAATGTCTTAGTTTCTAAGTGTTGCTAAATTGACTGCTACCTCATGAAACTTGCTGTGGGCTCTCACATCATCTCAGTACAGTGCTCAGGCCTTAAATTCTTAGTGTTCCATACCAAAGTTTTTTAAGTGGTCTTAGTACCGGTTTCTGTTGGTGCAACCTAGTGAGAACTGGCACTAGTGTTTTTGTGAGATTTCCCCATCATAGTTTTCATCTTCACAACTTTCAATCTCTACTAATGCTCCTGGTGGCTCCCACTACTTTTTTTTCTTTGAGCGGGAAAAAAAGGTCCTGAAGACTCTGCTTCAGAGATGGTGTAATAGCTTCAGATTTATTATGTCTGGATTTAATGCATTGGTACAGCAAAATTCTTGATTAAGCTCAGCCTGTGGGCTAAGAAGAGGAATAGACATAATCATTCATGAACAGCACCACTGAGAACTTACTAAAATTTAGCCCTGTTACTTGGATAATAATTGTTGTGGTCTGAACATTTTATGAGGTCACAAAGCATTTGTAGAAAAGGAGATTTAAGAATTTCATCAGGCTAAAACCCTGTAACTAGTAAAGAAATTTTTTTTGCTTACAATGTGTGTGTTAGGTGAAACAGGAGATTTGGTTATAGGTGTATGTACTACAGCCTGGAGTATAAGTAGTATATTCTTGGCTCTGCTACTGACTTACTGTGTCCTTCAGTCAGCCACTTGACTTTTCTGTACATTTGTTTTTCCTTTACACAAGTCTTCCTTTTACATTGGAGTTATGTACTACCTTAATCAGAATAGTCTGATTAATTTTCCTCTCTGAATA